TTGTACACGACTCTCTTCCATAATAAAACAGTACTAGGGCTTGATTCATCCCTTTTGAATATCTTACTTATAATTTTTCGTTTAATGCAGTTAATTGTGCTCTTGGGAGTTTCTACAATGTTTCAACTCGGTGTGTGTGATCTTTGTAAGTCTGGCACCTTCCAAGATGAAGAAGCTCAGCTAGAGTGTAAAACCTGTGAAGAGGGATATTCAACTGTTGGCGATCACGCTACCAACTTCACAGAGTGTAGAGGTAAATAACAACAATTCTGTGTCTGTGGCTCACTGGTTAAGTACACTCTGTGTCGCACATATGCACACCCACAAAAACAGCTTAACATAGATATTTTTATTGATACCAATTATAATTTTATTTATTAAGCTATTTTCTAGCTGTAAGTTCCTCTATAATGCATTATCAATTTTATTAAAAGTTCAAAACTGTTTCTTTTACAATGTATCTATAATCAGTCAGGTGCATTTTTTTATATTTACTTTGAGTTCCAGTGATAGAATGGCTGTTTTTATTTTCAGAAATTTGCAAACCAGGAACATTCTCTACTACCGGTCTTGCTGCCTGTAAAGATTGTCCAGAAGGGTTGTATCAGCCATATTCCCAACGGCAAACATGTCTAACATGTCCACAACACACGACAACATTTTATCCTGGCGCAACATCACAAGACAGCTGTCAAAGTAATTTACATAGCCCTTGTTAAATTTAGTATTTCTTTGAAATTTGGCCAAACTACCTAGTAGCAAAATCAAACCATAAAATACTTAGCATGAATGCACAGTGTTAGTTAGGCTACATTATTTCCACAGGGCAAGTACTTTCCAATGAATATTTAGATTTTGTACTTGCATCGTCTATGCACTTCCTCGTCAAATATTTCTTTCTATGTGAAACATACCGCAAATCAAGATGAGATTGAAACATTGCCGATATGAATATACTTAACGTTTTTGTTTTTCATGTTGTAGTGGTCTATGCTGCTGGTTCCTTTTCGGCGTCTGGTATTGAGCCATGTAAGCCTTGTCCGAAGGGAACATACCAGCCAGATAAAAGGAAGAAGAAATGCATTGAGTGTCCAGGGATACGGTCTACTGCAACCATTGGTGCCATGTCAGCTCTGGAATGTGTTGGTAAGAAATAGATGTATACCAGTAATGCATTTAAATACCATGTACTTTAGTCATTGATTAAAATTATATTGATCAAATACCCTGTGCTAATGTAAAGTAATTCAGCTGGAGTAGTTTAAACCTTATATTTACCCTTATGCATGCGGGTATGAGGTCTATGCATACTAATTGTAAATATGCAAAAAGGACATGCTTCATACATGCAGCTTGCATGATTAAAAAAAACAATGCAGACATCTGATTTTTAAGACAGGAAATAACACTAGATAGAATTTAAGTTGACATTGTAAGTATTTCTTAATCCAGATCATAATTTCGCAGTATCAGTGAATTTGATTTGGATATTAAAATGCCATACCTTTCAGACATAGATGACTGCCAGAGCAATCCATGTGTAAATGGGGCAACTTGTGTTGATGGAAGGGACGCCTACACCTGCAAATGTCCATTAGGCTTCACAGGTGCCTTGTGTGAAATTGACATCAATGAATGTTCCCAAAAACCCATGTGGCTTCAATGCCACTTGCTTAGACAGAGGTGAGTAATTATAGTTTCCTATATTATGGTTTAGTGCATTTAGGTCAATTATATACCGCTTTGAAGGAACGCTAAAACTGGCTGTTATTACAAGAGACTGCAATGCACAGTACAGCACAGCCATGTGTTATATATTATCTTTCTCAACAGAAAACCTCCATCAAATCAACGTTAAAAATTAAGAACTCTGACTTACAACTACATCTCTTACACAGTGAATGCAGTTGACTGCGTATGTCCTCATGGCTACTTTGGTGACACATGCGAATATGAAAAAGATGAATGCAGCTCAAGCCCCTGCCTCAACAATGCAACATGTTTTGATGAGGTATGCAAAGCAGTTCTACTTAACTAGTTGTTATTTACTAAATAGTTTTCTTACGTTGCATGAACAAGTACATATTTGATTTTAAAAAAACTTCCATGGACATAATTATATATTTTATGTGCATAAAACGGTACATTTTGTACTCTGGTATAAGATGGACCTGTCGAATGCTTTACTTTTCAATGACAGTTCTAATTATGGGTACATAGAAAATGCATTCACAAAAATATTTTAAAAGTCATGATGCTCCTCCGTGTAAACCTTTGTTCTACATTTTGTTGAAGGGCCCATTAAGTTTGACCTACATGTGAGTGATATGTTATTTAAACTTCTTACAGGATCTCATTACATTGCAGCTTCTACTTTGCGAATACGGTATCATGCGGTATACCAATTCAAAATCCGTGTCATTTTTTTAGGACGATGGCTTCCGATGCTTCTGTGCTGATGGATATACTGGGAAGTTCTGTGAAACAGAAATAGATGAATGCATGGCTGCTCCTTGTTTGAATGGTGGTACATGTGTGGATCACCTTAGTCGTTACAGCTGTAGGTGCAGACCAGGCTTCATTGGTATCAAATGTGAGCTCAACTTGGATGAATGTGCATCAACACCTTGTCAAAATAAAGGAAGGTTAGTTTGCTATTATACAATATTGAATTAAATTTGCTAACTTACTTAGTGTTCTAGTGTCCAATTACTGGAAGGCATTTTAACAATGTTGATTCCAAAGTGATTGTTAGCTTCTACCATGATTATGATTGGCTACATTTTCATTTTGATTTGTATCATTAACGATCCAATGTTGTTTTACTTCGATTGAAATAATCATCGTAGCTATATCCAAGACATTTTAAAATTGTATGTAACGGTTGGTTTTCTTATCCAACTCAGCTGTGTTGATGGGGATGGCATCTTTGTGTGTGTTTGTCCGAATGGGTTTATTGGGACCCTCTGTGAAACCAACATCGATGAGTGTGTGCAAAACGTTTGTCAGAATGGAGCATCATGTGCTGATGGTGTCAATGACTATGACTGCATTTGCCCCCCATCCTATTCTGGAATATTCTGTGAACAGGTAAGTTTGGGGTAGTCACATTTCTGGGTAGTGATGACTGGTGGATCTTGATTTTTAGTTACACTGTATATTTTAACACATTGGCCAGTTATCCTGTCCATTGTACATTTGTCATTCAGAAGGCAATTCTACAACTGTGGCAATTGTTGTTGCAATGGGTGACATTATTCTATCCTTTTGCAAAATTTTAAAAGATGCTTGCATTTTGAAGACTACTGTATGATTCATAACCAAGATGGAATGCAGTCTAACAAAGGAGGAACACAGTCTAATGATGTATGTTTAATAATTTTTCTTCAGAGCTGTCATCAGATTTTGACATGAGCTTCATCTGGGGAACATTGGCGGACTACAGTATCGTCAACATGGACAGAGACCTTCAGGCTTTCACACTTACTTTCTGGATGGAAAGCACTGACTACATTAATGCAGGGACTGTGTTTTCCTACGCCACCCTAGATGAAGTGGGAAATGTCACTGATAATACACTAACACTAACTGACTACAACAGCTTTAAGCTTCACGTCAACAATGAAGAAGTGTATACTACCCTAAGCCCAAATGATGGAGAATGGCACCATATTGCAGTAACATGGTCGAATACAGGTAAATTAAGGCTTTAATTTTATATGTAATCATTAAATTGATTGAATAGGAAGAGTGATGCATTAATAATGATATACAGAATATGATTTAAAGCTCTAGTGTTAATGTCCTGCGGAGCCCATATATATATGGGTTGCACATACAGTACCATCTATATAGTGCCCTGTATATGTACGATTTGGGGGTGTTTCTCGTGCAACGCATCACACCGCAGCGAAACGCAACGAATGCGGAAGTAACTACGCCACCGCGGGCCAAAAAAAGTCAAGGGTCTGTGACCTGATTAAGACATGAAATTATTTGAAAATATTATGTAAAAATTGCCAGCAGGACAAGGGTTTAAAAAATTTTCACCTTGTTTGCAGATGGTGGCTGGAAAGCTTACCAGGACGGGAGTCTTGTTGGTAACGGTACCGCATTACAAACTGGATACGTCATTCCCGGTGGTGGAAAACTCGTCATCGGTCAAGAACAAGATGACTTCGGAGGAAGATTTGGGCCTGATGAAGTGTTTATTGGTAGCATAAGTAGGTAGGTTGCCAAACTATAAGGTTTATTGCTATGCCATTATGAATGAAGGGAGGGACACCAATATGGCCCTTACAAAAAGAGTTATTGAATACATATGTTAAGAATGACAATGATACAATGTATGGAGTGACCACGCATGATAATCTTTTTTTTTATTTCTGGTGTGCTAAAAAGAGAAATTTAATATCGTGTTGCATTATTAATTTTTTTGCAGGTTAAACTTATGGGACTATGAGCTTTCAGAGGAGGCAATCTACACTCTGGCAAGTAACTGTCACAACAAGACTGGGAATGTCAAGGCATGGCCTGACTTCATTGCTGGCCTGAAAGGAAGAGTCAAGATGAGCAACTCCTCTTCCTTCTGCGATGGTAAAGTTTCATTTTTAATGCTTGCCTGGTAATTCCAAAAGCACATCAAAATATGCAGTTAACTATTATATTTCAATGGAATGTTCTTATCACTTTTTAATTCCGTGATTGACTGACCTTATGAGCACAGTACTTCAATATTTATAATGATTGGCTTAACCCCCATATGATGCATAGGTATTCACGCGTGTTTTCTGTGTTGTTTTGAAAAAAAGTGCTATTCAATATGATTTATTTACGTTTGCAACCATTAATGATACATATTTTTCAAAAATGATACTAAAGCATTTCCAACATTACGATCAGTATTTTTTCTCAAGCTTAACTTGTCTCATGCTTTTGCACATCTAATACTACTGATAGTGATCTACAGAATTGCATTCGGGTTGTTAACTTCAATGTGCAAATTTGCACCAAATAGGTCTGGATGACTGCTCGGTAGATTTCTGTAGCAACGGGGGTACTTGTATTGACAAAGTCAATAGTTCCTCCTGTGACTGTCCAACTGGCTACCATGGTGACTTGTGTGAAGTGATGATTCCCGGCTGCCACCCCAACCCATGCCAGAATGGGAAATGTGTGTACAACAAGGAGCAAAATATGACAGACTGTGTTTGCAACCCTGGATTTACAGGTAAATAGCTTCAATATCAAGTACATGTATATCCTTTTAGTACTGCATTAGTCAAAGCTATCAACAAAATTAGTATTATTAAAAAAAAAACACAATTTGTCTATCTTCATGTCCCAAGTAAATCATGTCCATACATGTGAAACACGGAGAATCATTTCCTTTCAATCAAGAGAAATGAGTGTTGAAATAATTTGCATGACGACTGTTTAAAAAGGTACATTTTGTAATGCATGCACACAGTAATCAGGAACTGTCTTCTGAATACAGGTGATTTGGTAAGAAATATCTATACACATGGTTTGAGTCAACGTTGCAGACATATCTGATCTAAATGTTGACCTCTTACTTTTAAGGGGAAACGTGTGAGATGACTATCGACTACTGCACCCCTAACCCATGTTTGAATGGAGGAATATGTCATGATCATGACCACAGCGGAAACAACTTTCAGTGCAGCTGTCGACATGGGTTCACTGGCCATCTTTGTGAAATAGGTACCGTAACGGTCCCGTTGTTTTATAACTGCGGGTCTAAGAAATCAAAATTATCATTTAAAGTTGTTATCTTTAGCTGCTTTTATGGCTTTGTGGTTGGCTTAGTATGTGGACAAAATTAACCAGTTTAAAGTTTGAATAGCTTAAACAAAAAAAACGCTTTAGAATATCATCAACTAGAGGCTCTCTATGGTACAGCTGAAACAGACCTTTCATTTGTCACATCTCATGCTCCGGACATATTCAGGTCAAAGTCTTGTTTGAAGTCGTTAAACACCATTTGGTTTTATTTGTATTAGCTGTCACCTGTTCACCACCACCTGCTCAAGAACACACATCTATTCAACCTTTAAACCCTAACTATGCTGTGGGATCACTAATAACATATTCATGTGCTGCTGGCTATGAACTTCTTGGCCCACACGTGCATACATGTGCACACGATGGAGAATGGAGTGGGCAAGAAACCATATGTGCAGGTAATTTTCGGAGGATTTAATACTGATCCCTTTCACCATATTATAATACTAATCGCTTTTACTGTATTGTATTTTAATATAATAACTATGGGTGCTGGTAAACTTCATGTTATTTTGTCTGCGTCTGTATGCTTGTGTAGTTAACTTGAATATATAAACCACATTTTCATACATGTTTTCTTTTAATTCAGATATAGATGAATGCAAGACAAACCATCACAACTGTGATCAGCAATGCTGGAACATTGGTGGTAGCTTCTATTGCGCATGTGACCCTGGCTACACTTTGACACCAGACAACAGAACTTGTATAGGTAATTGACTTCCTTCTCACATGTCTTACTATTAGTGACTATCATACAGTAAGAAATACAAACACTGAAGATACATACAAACTATCATACATAAGCAGTAAAAACACTGAAGATAATCAAAATTAATACTGTTAAAAATAATGCTGGAAATAAATAAATAAGTAAGATATTTAGTCATTTACAATTACAACGACTTCGTTACCAAACATTAAAGAAATGCCAATAACATAGCGTTTCTTTTAGGACAATTTCAACCGATATTCAGGATAAGTAAAATGGAGTCAGGCACACAAACATGATAATGAGTAGTGTTAAACAAAATGAACTTAAAAAAAGACAAATCACAAAATCAAGGCCAGGATTACATTACTATTCAAAACTTTCGTATTGTGGGTCAACTAAACAAACAGAATGTTTAATTTAGAAAAGGACTTCATAAATTTATTTACATAACGCAAGCTATATTATATATAACAACCACTGATTCAAAGTTTATACAATAGCCACATTCAATATCTAAAATTAACATGCGCCATTAACGAAATCTTTGCAATACACAGATATGGATGAATGCTCTTTGCCAGAGCTCTTTGGCATCAATGGTGGATGTGATCATGACTGTCATAATACACCAGGCAGCTTTTTCTGCACTTGTGACGATGGATACCAAAAATCAGTGACTGGTGGCAGATGTATTGGTAAGTATTGGTTCATTTCAGAAATTTTTGTATGATGGCTTAGTAACATGAATTTAATTATGGGTTTGTTTGACTTAGAATATTTGTTTTGTATACAAAGAAAAAGCACCTAGAAGTGAGTTCAAGAGTTGTTCTTTATCTTCCAGACATGGATGAATGTATCACCAACAATACATGCAGCCAACTCTGCCTTAACCATGCTGGAGGGTACTCCTGCGAATGTGAGGCAGGGTATCAGCTACAGGGGGATGGGGAATCTTGTGAAGGTACGTTTTGCTTGCTATTATTTAAGCTAAAGTTTTTTTTTAAATCCAGCAACATTAGCCCATAAGAGATGTTTATGTAACCCAACATCATGAATTCGTCTGTTATAAGACCCATATAAAATTATGCTTCAAATTCCAAAATACCATCTAAGGATGATAAGATAGCCAATCAATAAATATAAGAAAGCAACAAATCAATGAATTTGTTATCGTCTTATAAAATTATACCAGCTAGTGTTGTATGGTGGCAATTTTAACACATAATGGCATGTGCAGCCATATATACATATACATATACATATACATATATATACACATGTTTAAAAGGATGTGTAACATAATAATTAATTTTAGAACATTTTCTGCAACAGCTGTTCAGTGTCTAGCACCTATGCAGCTACAAAATGGGAATGTCTCCATCACTCAGGCTTCTCCAGGGACATACCAATATGGTGACACAGCTTCCATCACTTGTAAATCTGGTTACAAGCTTGTTGGTTCCCCTGTGATCACATGTGATGAAACTGGCCAGTGGAGCAACACTTACACCTACTGTAAAGGTAATGACAATTTTCACTTCTTGACATTTAAATTCATGATAAGATATTCATGTTCGATAGGTAAATCTTCAAGCTCATTAAGAAAATTTTAGTTTTTTTGTTTTAATGTGCGTTGTGCAAAGTGGTGGGAAATTTTCTGAACACAAGAACTCACTCCAAAAAAACTTTGATTAAGTCCAAGTGCATTAATTGAGGAAAAATGTCACCCCAATGTCATTTTTGTTAATTTGCCAAACAATCTGCCCGCTGCCCGTGTCCCTCCCCCTTCCGGTCAGTCCCCTCTCACTTCCGCCCACCACGGCCCGGACACATGTGCTCCCGCCGTCACCCCTGACACTTGGACAGAGCTAGGCGAGGACGCACACGTGGCCTCGCTCCCCCCTCTATTCTCAGTTTTTTCGTTTCTTTATTCACGTTTGCGGTTTGCGATGACTAAACCGAAAGCCTGTACAGTCTGCAGGCTGCCAGTGAAGGGGCATGATGGTCCTTACGGCCCCGGGAAGTGCGGCGTGACCCTCTCGTCACCACCAGACGCCTCGGACAGCGACGCGGACAGGCGCCGTGCTGACAGGGCCTGGCGGTCTCTGCAGAAGCTCCGGCGGGAGAGCCGAATCAAAGACCTGGCGAAGGGTCTCTGGTCAGAGGTGAGCGACGGGGAACAGGCAACTGTACGTGACCTCCGTGAAGACAAGGTCTTGGCCAGACGTGTCGAGCAGACTTTGGACGAGATCTTCGGCAAAAAGAAATCGCCAGCGTCATCCAAGAAACAGGTCCGGATCCCGTCAGACGACGACAACCTCTCGCGGTCGAGCTCTTCTTCTCCGGTGGCTCACAACTCTCGCCGCCCCCTCGTAACCTCCTCGTCGGAAGACAGAGCGAAGGCCCGTCGCCACAGTTCCCGGCACCGCGTCTATTCTTCGTCGGCCAACAAGGCCAAGGCTGACCGCCCCACTACCAGAAGCCGACGGAAAGGCAACAGGTCACGCCGATACCGTGCCACCGACTCGGACAGTTTGTCGGTTTCGTCTTTGTCGCCGCGCAGGTCCCGCCGCCGAGGTAAGGGCAAGAAGAGTGGCCGCAATAAGACTATCAATGATTGTGTTTCGGGCTTTGCTAAAGTGGACTGGCCAAATCATCACGTGCACTTCCCCGGCAAGGGTAAGAAAGGCGATGGTTGTGTCACGTTCGATGATTTGTCGACACCTATGTTCACGTATGGATATGTCAAAAACCTCCTCGAGAAGAAACGGGTCGAGGGATCCCTCAAGGTTAAACTCCAACATCTCGCTGATTTGATGTTTGATGCTGCGTACTACGAATGGGAAGTCGTGCGGGAAACACATGCCGCCGTCCTGTACTCGATGGAGAACGGCACGTTAACCTGGGCAGACAAAGACGCCATCGACGAAACCCGAGAACGCCATTACCGCACTCAGGCTGGGGCAACCCGAGCTCCTCCCACACCCCGGGGTCCGACGCGCTTCCCACGCCATCACAACATGGCGCGCTACTGCGAGGCGTATCAGCATGGGAACTGCCAGCGAGGGTCGGAGCATTGGGATCAGCGTTGGGGTCAAGTAAAGCATGTGTGCTGCATGTGCCTGCTTGTCAGGCACGTAGAGGTAGCGCATCCGAAGATCGAGTGTCCACACGCGAGGACCTTTCGCTCCGCCCCCGGTGGTCAGCCTGGTCGAGGTGCCAGTTTCCCTTCACAGCCGGGTGCCACTGGCACCGGGGGAGAACACTATTGAGTTGTTTCGCGCTGTTGAAGCGACATGATGCACATTTTTAAAGCTAAAAAATAATACCGAAATACCCTTATGATTAATGGGGAAAGGGAAATTGTGTAATATAATTATATATATAAAATTATAAACCATATTGATTTGCACGATAACCAATAATTAAAAGCCATTTTTGCTAACCATAAATCTGCATGTCAATGTATTTCAGAAATACTCTGTCCCTTGGTTGGCAACATAGAGAATGGCCAAGTCACCATCGATACACAGCATATTGGAGGCACTGCCCAACTCACCTGTAATGCTGGATACATTCTTTTTGGCCATCCTACATTGTCCTGTCTGCAAGAGGGGGTCTGGAGCCATCCTACACCTTACTGTATAGGTAAGGTTCAAATGGAACTAAAAGAGCAGCATTAGCTGGTTAATGCAACATTTTCCACCCATATAACTACCCGCTTCAATGACAAAATGATAACGACATTAGTTCTAAAATAGACCAATCTAGAACTTTATCCCAAAAATTAAGGAATTCCTAATTTAGGAATTTATGCATTTAAAAGTAGACTTTTTAAAGACCCATTCGTCTAGGAAATGTTTTTTCCAAAGACAATTCTCAATAAACCACACCATCTCTCATACAAATGTTGTTGTCATGTCCCATTGTCCATGACAAATGGTTATTTTGCAGCACTAATTCATCTGATGCATTTTAATTGGGAATACCTGCAGTCCTATCCTTGAACTACTCTCCAAGCAGAGGTTGGTGGGGGAAGATCGTCACCGTTTTATATAAGCCTCGTTTTTTTTTGTCGCGTCTTCTGCAGGTTCTCTTCTGCCACATATAAAATCCAATCCTATCTACAACAAACTAATGAAAATGTTGATTAAAATAATGAAGATTTGGTTACATTTTAGATAACTCTTACAGTGCTAGCATAATCTATCCATTGTTTCCTGTTAATGAACTGCACTTATTTTAAATAACAAACCAGCTAGTAATTTCAAAAGAAACATAACCTTATTTGCAAGGGTTGAATCTAAAAAGAAAACGTGTGTGTTTTACAGAGTACGACTGTGTACCACCTTCTCCACCAGCTAATGGTGAAATTATCGGCAGACAGTACACAACCGGGAGTCGAGTGAGAGTGCAGTGCAAAGATGGCTTTGTAACAACCGAGAGTGCAGTTCTCATTTGCCAGGATGACCATACCTGGTCAGCCCCTGTCCCTGACTGCCACTCTGTAAATACTACCGCCAGTCAGGCTAGCTTTAAGTAGTAACATAGTCCTCTTTTGTTTGTGTATGCATGGTTAAAGCATCGTCATTCTACTGTAGCATGACTACTTCCATGCATACTTGTTTGCGGTGTTGCTTTTGCGTTTTTTTTAGTAGAATAGTCTTGGATTTTAATTTTTACAAAATTTGTTTTTGATTGCTTTCTTGCAAAATATACATACTTATATACTTACAAGTAGTCGCATGACAGCATTTTCACTTCGAATGTGTAGGTATTAATGTATTGCCCATAATAAAACAAGCAAGCAAACACGAACTGCATTGCTTGATTATTGTCCAAAGATAGCTGTACATTATTAGATTACCATTAGAAGAATGTTAAGAACTAAAAGAATAGGAATGTAAAGTCAAGCAGCATGATAATTTGAGGCAGTTTTATTAAATACTTCTCTTATAGTTTCAAGCTAGATGACATTATGTAATGCATTACATCAATGTACAACTGTACCCAGTACTCTTGTAAGTCAAACACCATGTGAATTCGCCTGAGAACAGCAAGTAATGACTACATAGCTAAAAGTACGTTCAATCATTATTAAATGGCAACTGTGGTTAAATGCTGTCGTAAGCTTTGAAAGTTGAATAAAAATATGTTATTTGGCTCAAATGTGACATGTCTTATGTGATTTTTTAAAGGAGCTCTACTACAGACTCTAATATAGATGGGGGAAGGCGGGTGGTATTATTAGTATTCATAATATTATACGAAGCTGACTTGAATAGTTCAAATTATTCGAGTTTGAATTTATAAAAAAAGTTTTATGATGGATTTTGATGAATTCATGGAAATGAAAACAAACCGCACTCCCCTCCCTCTTACCATGCATGATCCAGTAAAATAAAGGCCGTGCACCTTTTTATGAGGCCTACCATTGCTACCTTAATCCTATGGTTTGCCTAAAAGACACAGTTGATCATCCTGTTACTTTCCACATGTATAGGCTGACTATTATTCTGACTATTATTATAGATGTAATAAATACTTCCTGAATGTTCAATTCAGAGTAGCCGACCTTAGCCTGTGTTTACACTATCTCTCCACAGCTAAAGTTACTAGTACTTCATACCACATATAGGCCATAGGCAGTTAAAATCATTACTATATTTTAATTGATTGGTTTGAGGAGCAACAAGAAAATTATATGGCCGGCAGCCATACATTAACACTAGTATTGTGCTCTAGAAAAAATCGTTAATTTTTCTGAAAAAAAAACCTACATTTTGTTTGGCATTCTAATGAAATTTAGTGGAATTGGAATTAAAATGCTACTGAATTACTAGCTGTGTTATATTTTGAGCAAGAAAAAGTATGGGCGATTCCGAAAACTTATATTATAGATAAGGTATACCCCAAGCGTTTTCAAAATCCGTATCTGCAGACTGTCTTTAAGGTCGACAGGTCTATATAAAAATGTAAAATACTAAAACAACCCTCAGTAGAAATTCTTCAATCAATAATTGTATTTGTAAGGTAAATTTCGTACCTCCAAATTTTCGGTGTCGACTGTACACCTTGATCACGGAGTGACCTAGTCTCGCTAGAGCACGAGACTCGGTCGAGACTTGTGTAGATCTTCTGGCCTCCCCCACCTCCTAACCCCTACTCGGCATGGAGACGGGGTAAGGAGTGATACGCCACATGTCTAAGTCTTAAACACCAGACTCGGACGTACTTCCTTGAATTGAAACTATAGGCAATCTTTGATAGATTGCCCGAAATATTCGCATATTTAAACGACTTTAAGTTGTTGACTAACATCATCTTTTTTCCGTTACTTCTAATTAGTCTCAAAAATATATGCAAAAAATTACAATATCTATTACATAGTTAAAGGCCAGCAACAACGGTATAGGCAGTAGCTTGTGTCCTTGATAACTTTATTTGTTCAAACATTACAGGCATGGCAAAAAATAGAATAGAGCATCTCCTATGACCAAATGAGTTTCTATAAGGTACATTATCTATCGGTTGTGTCTCTTAATAATAAAAAAAGCAGAGCAATTCTTAACAAGGTGTTTAAACAGATGGCAGGTATCCATAAGGTTCATGATATGTTGTAACTTTTTTGACGTTTTGTAGTTAGTAACTGTTACGGAACTTACGAATGACAAATAAATCACCTGATACATTTAGTAATTTCATAAGTATATCAATACAATGAATTTGGGGTGCTGATATAATCATGCATCATTAACCAAATTATTGCCAAGTGTGATCTTGCCCATACAATATAAAATTAACACACTGCTAAAAAGCCTTCTTGGAAACAATGTCCAGGTACTGCAAGATAAATGTATTCAGATATACTGCCATTGCAAATAACATAACACATATGCAATCATATTATAGCATTATTCATTCTTTTACTTATTGCTTCGCAAAAACATAACAATCTAATTGTTTTTTCTTCCATCCTGCTGGAACAAGTTAAAGATCTTCATTGAAAAAAAAAGGAATTCGTTGAATGTCATGAGGCAGAAGAATTGGCAACTAACTAGTCCCTGTACACAATATTCAATACTTGTGTCTCATCTTTCAAAGCAAAAAGCAGTCGTTTAACGACCATGTCTTTCAAACACACTTAGACACACAGACCAAGACACACGGAGACCTACCACACACAGCTTAAACACTACCATGACACGAATTACAGATCCACACACACCACTACTACACCATTAGTTCACCACTACAAACACACACCGTCAAATACCACAACACTAACACTAAACCACCAACACCATACAACACACAAAGACACACTAATACATCTTGGGAGTGAAATTGTCGCTACTTTATAACCCACCCACTGACAAAAGCGTAATGTACCAAGTTTGGCATTTTTCTATTGTTCTTTCCAGGGCTATTGCAGCAATGAACTTTAATTGCTTGTAGCCCACTTCTAAATTTCTCAGCAAGGAAACGTTTTTGTAACTTGTGTATGTCGGATGCACAAACTCTCAGTCAAACATTCTCGAATCCGTGCAAAAAAGGGCCGTAAAGATCATAAACTGGAACAGTAGTACCTCGTCGGCAACTCTACTGCCCACTCTACAACACAGGCGAGAAGCGGGAGCAGTAAAACTCATTGACCAGATGCGTGCCTGTGATCACCCTCTGCACAACACGATCACCAGCAACAGGACAGTAAACGGGAAGGACACTACGAACCAGTAACCACATAACACTGCCGGCATGCAAAACGGAACGTGTACGTCGGTCATTCCTGTTCCATGCACCCTCTTATACCATCAGACTGTATAGTAATGTATTATTAGAGACTGTTTCCTTCCAACACAAACTGCTTTACTATTTTCAGTTCAACGAATATATGGCTTCCTGTAGACTATAACGATTTTAGAAGAAAATAAAAATATGAATATTATTCATGTTTTAAATCCTTTAATATATAGCTGTTTTAATTGTATGATTGATTTTAAAGATATCATATGTAAATTAGCATAATACTTCGTAATGCTTATAAAGTCATTGTCATTGTTTTGGAATCGCTATGCACATTACCCTTCTTTTTCTTCCGGAATTCCATACTCAATCTCACAACAGGATTTTTTTACAGCTAAAGCTTCTTCCCCAGAACTAACATCACTATAAAAAGCGTCATTAACTAATGGAAAAACCTTAACCTTTTAAAGTCTAAGGTAAATAAAACCATTAGGGTACATTACTGTAACCCCAAAAGGAGGTTTCTTATGAGATTTGTTTTGTGGCGATAAGTTGAAGTAACACACACAAACATACACACACACACACACACACACACACAACAAACAAAACACACACACACACACACACACACACACACACACACACACACACACACACACAAGCATACACATACTTACACACACAGAGACACACTCAAACACGTTCACAAACACACACGCGCACACACGTATATTTAAA